ACTTGTCTGGTCTTGGGTTGAAGCTGAGGGAGTAAAGTCGGCAACTTCCTCTCATCATCTCGTGATGTAGATTGTGTCACAGTGGTGTGCACTAGTGACAGATGTGTGGTAGGGCTAAAAAAAAAAAAAAAAAAAAAAAAAAAAGCAAAGCAAAACAAAACAAAACAAAAAGCCCATGTTAACTACAAGAAAAACCTCCTGCTGAAAGTTAGTGCCACTTAACTTGCTTGCACAACCATTGCACAAATCAAGAGAACAATCTCAAAAATGAGACCAGAGTCCTGGGAGGGAGAGCTGAGAAGCAGCAGCTCAAATCCACAGCAGTCTGTGCTGCAGGAATTCAGATCGCCCTTGTGATGAAAGCACCAGTGTCCTTTCTCCTCCCGAGTCTGCTGGCTCTTGACTGAAGAGAGAACCCGATCCTCTGAAGCCCTCACAACTCCACACTGCTCACCTGAGCTGCACCCAGGCGTGCGCAGTCAGCCTGACTGCCTGAGGCCCCGCAGCCTGGACCGAGCACTGGGGTGGGCACCGAGGATGTGCTCTGTGGCATCTGGAAGCTGCCCAAGCCACAGAGGGCATTTCAGATGCAGCACAGCAGGGTGAGCAGTGGCAGGAATAAGCATGGCTTGTGTGCACTACAGAGGACAAGATGAGCAGGAGCTGCTGTGAGCTGTAAAAGGTCTGCAGGCAACAGCCAAACAAGGGAAAGGACTCAAGTGAGAACTGAGGGAAAAGCAGATGAAAAGAGCAGCTCTCTGAAAGAGACCCAGGAGTGAAAACAAAGACAGGAGCCTAATAGTTATGTCTGTCACAGTCTGAATGACGGTGTCCCCACTCCCACACACATGTTGAAGCCAAATCCCCCATGTGATGGTCCTTGGGGGTCAATTAGGTCATGGGGATGAGGACCTCATGGTAGCTTAGTGTCCTTATGACAAGAGAAACCAGAGAGCGAGCACTCTATCTCTCCTTCTGTCTCTCCCACGCTACTCCCCTCACCTTCTTTCCTCACTTTGTGAGGACAAAGCAAGGTGCTCACCTTCAAGCCAGGGAGAACATCTTCTTCTTCTTTATCATCATTATCTTCATCATCATCAGAACACGATGCCAGAACCCTTACATATTAGTCAGCTTTTCATCACTGGGACCAAATATCTGATATATGAAACTTAAAGGAAGGTGCTGGGTATGATGGTGCATGCTTATAATCCCAGCACTCAAGAAGATCACTCCAAGTTCTAGGACAGTCTGGGCTACATACTGAGTTTGAGACCACTGTGAACTTCATAGCGAGACCCTGTGTCAAAGAACAACAAAAACTTAGAGGAGGAAGGGGTCATTGTTTTACACACAGTTCAGAGGGTTCAGTCCATGATCCTTGGGCTCCCAAGCAAAAACATCATGGTGGAAGGGTTTGGTGAAGCAAAGCTGCTCTGCTCATGGTGACCAGGAAGTAGAGCACAGAGGAATAGTGTCAACAACATATGGATATTGTTATGGTTGATACATTGTGCCAACTGGGGGAGTCTAGAGGTTTGGCTAAGTGACTCAGCAGTTCTGCCTCCTGGGGTGAAAAGGACACACCCTTACCCTTCTGAGATGTTGTTTATTGTGTTAATTTGAGAAGTTTAGAAGGTTAACTATGCAACTCAGAAAAAGGGGTCCAGGGTGCTTACTTGTATTCATCCTGAGCCTGTGCAAGAGGCAGGCATGCAGAGGGTGTGGGTGTGGAGGACCACCCCCACCTCCCCAGAGCAGGTAGACTGCATAATAAAAGGAATTGAGGCAGGACTGGGTGGGGCTTCTTCAGAGGAGCTCCAGTCTTCGCCTTCAGCTTGGTCGTCTCCTGGCTTCTGGTACAGACTGTTGGGCTTCCGTCTGGACTCTTCAGCCTTCTGGTGTTGGCTCTCCGGCCTTCATCGTAGATTCTTCAGCATTCTGTCACAGATCCATCAGCCTTTTGATACGGACTTGCACGGACACTGCAGCGAGCTCCAGGCCCGGGGGTGGGCTCTTCAATCCCCAGTGTGCAGACACCCTCTGCATGCTTCCTCTCCAACTCTGTGGCTGACCATTGTAAGCCAAACTTGTAATTCCTTGTACATTTGTTATCTTGTATTATATCTGTTCCTCTAGTCAACCCTGACTGATACAGATTTATATATGGTACCCTCCAAAATCATGCCCCTGACTGGGCTCCATCTCCTAACCATGCACTCAACCAGGGATATCAAGTGGAGTAATCCACCAGTGAGTGTCATGCTTCCATGAGCCAATCACTGCTTCATTGTCTCTTAATCCAGTCTAGTTAACAAGTAAGATTAACTGGCACAAGTCCACCTCTTGTCAACTTGACTCCTAACCGTATCTCTTTAAACCAGATGTAACCTCCAAATAAACACAATAACAAGATAATAATTCTGCCTAACATCTGCAACCAAACATGCAACGATTGCTTCCCCAGTTTCAAAATCCTATCGTCATTTAAAAATCCCAGTCCAAAGTCTCTTCTAAGACTAATGACATCTTCACTATGAACTCATGTAAAATTCAAAAAGCGAACTATATATTCTCCATATACAATGATAATAGTACAGGGTAAACATTCCCATTCTAAAAGAAAGGAACAGAAGGGTAGAAAAGAACAGGACCAAAGCAAGACCAAACCCCAGAAGAACAAACATTAATTTCTATAGCTCCATGTTTGGTATTTGGAGCGGAAGTGGTGAGATGTGAGTTCCAGAGGGTTGGGCAGCCCGTCCTGTGGTAGGACCCCTCCCGAAGTTTCAGGCAGGAACTTTTTACAGTGTAGCGGTATCAGCCTGCTATGTAAGCATGTGCAGTTTGGATGTAACTCTGTAACATAAATCAGACCCAACCAAACCATAAAATGTTAGCATATCCCCATATAAGGGAGACAAAGTCGGAGCTCAGCCTTTGGATATGAACCCTCTGAGTCAGTGCTGACACAAAAAAAGCTGTTTCCTGAGAAAAAGTGCTTGGTGTCCTGTGTCTCTACAGGAAAATCCTGAGCCGTCCTACAGCCCCGCTGGCTGTATAGAGCCCACACACAGTCTCTCCCAGGCTGACCCCACTCACTGCCTGCTGCTTTCCTCTGCAGATGTGCTGCACTCTTGGCACTTCTGATTTCTTGCACCACAGCACAACGGTCTTCATTCTCACAGTTGCATAAACTGCCCTCTCAGGGACCCCTTTCCTGGCTTCCCAGTCTTCCTTGGAAGTCTGGGTGGAAGCCTCCCTGTCTCTACAACTCTTGCATTCTGTGTGCCAGTAAAACCTGCATCACTTGGATGATGCCGAGGTCTGCAGCCAGCTCAGGTAGTATCCAGGCCCTCTCAAGTCAGGGCCACCATGACCTTGGAGTGCCCGGACAACTGAGAATGGTGAAATGAAACAAGCAACTAATTCTCTAGGTAGCCCTTCTCAGCAGGACCCCTGGGGCTCTCTCCTCAGCCAAAGGCTCATAGTTTTGCACATGAAGCTTGCAATGGGTGGATTCTTACTGATTTCTTAGAGGCCCTCAAGGCAACTTTCTTCGTATCCTTGTACCAAGTACTTGGTTTCTTTTTAATGGAAAGCAGCAATCAGAAGCCTTGATGTGTCTTCAATAACCCAGGCGTTCTCTGGAAAAATAAGATTTTTTAGATGATGTATTTCAAAATAAAATTTAAACCCACTGTTTAGTAACATAAACCCTAATTTTGTGCCAAGAGAGTCATAAATGCCTTTTCTTTTCCTGTGATGTGCCACAGGGATTTTAAAGCTTGCTAACTGTGTGAATTCCTCAAGAAACTTCTCAAACCTCAGGGAAAGGCATAGTGGGAGTGGAGGGAGAGGGCCAGGGGGAGCAGTCACATTTTCTTCCAAGGGAGGTGGATTGAGTCAACTCAGAACAGCATCCTGAAGAAAAATTGGACACTAAGGAGATTGTTCTCTGAGAGCATCTCCTCCTTCTCATTCTCTCAGAGTTCAGTCGGGGGTGATTCCCTCCTTCTATAAGATGCAGCTGATGCCTCCCTTTGAGGCAAGGCAGCAAAGCAGGCTTTAAAACAGAGTGAGGCCCAAAAAGGATCAAAGTCACACACAGAAGGAAGGAAGGAAGTCAGAGGAAGAAAGGTAGCAAGGAAAAAGGAATGGAAAGAGAGAAGAAGGACTAAGGAGGAAAGGGAAGGGAAATACAACACACGGGTGACTGGAGAAAGACAGACAGCTCTGTTATCTCTGGCATTTCTATTTGTGGCACAGAAAGGCGATTTCAGTCATGGAAATGGGGAGGTGAGTCTGTGGCTTCTCCATTCTCTTCCTGTGTTTCTTTTCCCTATTGCCCAGAGGGATGAAAGGGAAGGGGATTTCCCACCCGTGCCTCTTCCGTGCATAATGACACTGGTACCACTCAGTGGGTTGTTGTAGGGGTGACAGAAATACCTAGACCTTCAAAAAGTCCCACTCCAAGCAGAGGGCAGAGGGGTCAGCTGGGGGGTGGCCAGCCTACCACTGCCTGTGTACAATGAGGTGGAATCATCTCCTTGTATTTTCTCCCCACCACCTCTGAATCTCACATCCTTTGCTCTACTTCCACTAAGGGACAAATATGTTTGTGAGTTTCCAGATGTTACTATTTCTGTTCAAGCTTAGCCGTGTTTAAACACTGCTTGCCAAAAAGTGTGAAATACTATGAATAAGGTTAAAAGTTGCCAAACAACTTCAGTGCAACTAATTTTTAATACACCTATAAAGAAAAGTAAAATATATTCTGATCATCAGGAAACTCAGGTTTAATAAGTGATCATGTTATTGTAGGGAGTACAGCATAATTATAGGCATAGCTGACTAATTTAATAAATTGTATCACATTAGTCCATAATTTATTCTGTTGCAGAAAGATCCACTGAACTCTAGGATACGTGTGATTACTTACTGTACTAAATCTTTTTGTTAGATGTAGAAATATAGAACAAATGGCACATAGGGAAAATCTTAGGTGGAGTTTTTATTGTTTCATTGATTTTACTAAAACTTGCTGCATAAAAAATGGAGTTCTCATGACATTTTAAAACTGAGTCTGGACAACCACTTGTATTAATGATGCAATATAATATAAATTAAAATACAATAATAATATCTGCTGCTCAATAATACCTGAATGCTTTCATATACATCATCTTGATTCTCTGAACAACCTTTGTTACAGTAGATAAAACAAAAGAAGATCACAGAGACTGACATGTTCAAGGTCACATAAATAGGACATTTAAAATTCAGGCCTCCCCCACCTGTCAAGTGGCATTTCCATGCCATCACGTTGTAAATTAGACTCACACTGAGAGTAGGTTACCATAGGTGACATCTTAAGAGTATATTATTTTACAAATCAATTTTGTAAGGTATTCATTTGAATTTCTAAATATTCTGTATGATTCCATGTATTTATATTCTCACCCACATATTATGTTAAAGGAATTTAGAAAATGTCAAAAACAGTGAGCAGGAAATTTTAAAGCTTCTCCCTGCTGTGCTTTTCAAGGTTGCAGAGTAACTAAGTGAAATAAAACTTTTTTTAAAAAACTCTTGTTATGGAAACCTCTATTGAAGTAAAGATTTTCAGTCTGTTTTTCTAAGCTCAAATATGAATCTGGGAGAAAGACATAAAGTGGAAATGAGAATATACTGATGTTCTAAGGACACAAAGAAATCTCTTTTTTGTCCATTTGTAGCTTTCTTCACTTCTACTCATTTTCTGGGCAGACCACACAAACCCAACCTACCATGCTTCCACAAGACCTGTTTTTAGGGCTCAGTTTAACTTTCTCCCCTCTGGGGGTAGTAAGCATCCAGGTCTTTGGAAGATCCAGCTAGGCGCTTGTGGCATAGTCAGTGGGAGAGCACTTGCCTAGAATGGTTTTCTCACCAACATTATAAAAAGCAAAACTCCAGTTAAATCAGCATTTATATCCTACATAATATCTATCCTGCTGTCCTGGAAAATGAAGGTCCTAGGGTCAAATAACTTTATAAGTTAACTAAAATACACAATCTCAAAAACAATTTTAAACTTACAGATACACCTAATGAAAAAAAAAAATCAGCATGTGCACAACTGAGAATTTATCTCTTGCTATTATAATTGCAATTCCTAATTTGCCTAGTCTTCAGCTGCAGGTTGGAAAGGCTTCTCATATTCTCAGTGGCAAATGCAGGCATTCACTGAGAGAAGTCCTTAGAGGAATAACTTGGGGCTTCAACACCTTTTTAAGAGTTGAGAGAGTTGATTTATCATTGTTATAAACCATAAACATCTCTTGTGCCGACAGTCACGGAGTGTATGTGTACCACATGCATGATGTTTTTTTCAGATGTAGGTGTTGAATAATTGTTTACTGAGTGACTGTATGAACGGATGAATGATGACTGCTTCAGAGGACACTGGGGATTCAGATATGGCCCAAAGAGCCAAAGTGCTGCTCTGGTGACCCTAGTGATCCAATCTTCCCACTGTGTTCAGTGGGATCTCAAATTCCCAATCATCCATTGCCTTCTTTGGCCTAGAGGAAGAGCCACTGGCCTCTTCCGTGTAGAGAGAACAAGACACCAAGGAACAGGAATCCCTTGGATTCTGCCCTTCATTCTTAACCCAGTTTTCTAGCTCCCAGCGTTCCCTCTCATTAAACGGGAATAAAATAAATTGTTTACCATTTGCAAAACACTGCATTTTTACTCATTCCAGCTGCAAACTTTAAAGGCAAAATCACAAGAGGGTATGGGGTGAACAGGGCCTACTTATAAAAGAGGTCACATAAAAATTTAAAAGTACTTACGACTAAATAGTTCATGCTATTAAGGAGATGAGCTATGCAAACCCAGTGAAAATTAAAACTAAATTGCATACACTAATCAGCAATGGGTAGCACATCCCATTCATTTGCATGCAATGCAATTATCCTGATAGGTGCTGAACTCCACACATCCCGCTGGGTTAGTGCATCTCCAGGGAAGGAGGTGTTGGGCTTTCTCTCTGTGCTTGGTTGTGTTCCTTTGGGTGGGGACAGCAAACGAATAATCACTGCAGCACCTGGACACTTTGAACATTTGAAAGGAAAACAATGCAGACCTGTGCAAAACAGCATTCAGATTTCTCAGAGGGATAGGACCCTTCGCGGTCAATGCCCCACTTCTAGAACATTCTATTTGATCTTGTGCTTTCAAAAACATTTGTTTTGTGCTTATATAAAGAATTCTTCTTCTTCTTTTTCTTCACCCTGGAGTGGCAGATGAAGGAGACATCTGGAGGTCATCTTCCTCGTACCAAATTCACTTTGACCAGCGAGTGACAAAGGGTGACCTTGTTCTTTTGGGACCCTTTTATTTTTTATGGCAGTCACCTCAAAGAAAGAGCCTGACACACTAGACGGTTGGCTGACACGCAAATCCTTTGGAAATCTGCTCCAAAAAGATGGTCTGGGTTCTGAGTTGATAACGGTGAACCCCGTGTCCACATTCATCTCAGCCTCAAGCATCTGAAAACTGTTTTCCTGGAGGATTTTCATTCTGGCCCCGAGTCCAAGTGGGAGAGAAGGGAGACGGTGCTGGGTGCTCGCGGCTGAGCTGCTGGCCTGGGCGGTCCAGCCAGGGCTTCTCCTCGGGACCCCAATGGAGCTGGCCTCCGGTGTCCCGCTGGGCTGAGGCAGCTCCAAAGAGCGCACCTTGAACTTCCTGGCTCGGCTTCTCCGGCTCCGGGGCTCCAGCGTTCTCTGTGCGGAGACTGAGGTCAGCCTGGGGCCCGGATGGGGCGAGTCAGCTTCCATGGTGCCGCTCAGAACAGAGAGCTCGCTGTTCCTGGAGCCAAGGCCTGGATTGGACTGGACCTGGGGAACACAAGAGGACAAAGGAGACGGTTTCCACAAAGTGCAAGAGCAAGATGTCCTCCTCACCTCTGCTGTGCTGTGCCCTGGACGGTCACTCAGCAAAACTGGCTGGATCGAACCTATCTCTGTCCCCGTCAAGGTTAACTTTTCCTTTCTCTTTTCCTTTGTTTTCTTTTTTCCTTTCTTAGTGGTTCTAGGGGTTGAACCACCGCCTACTCCCCTCTCCCCGCTTCTGGACAGAGTCTGACTAAGTCACTGAGTTGTCTAGGCTGGGCTCAAACTTGCAGTCCTTCTGCTTCAGCCTCTCAGAGTACTGGGACTGCAGGCGAGCACCTGGCTGGCTCCCTTACTTAGTTCACGCTGAGACAAGGGCAAGACTTTAAGGACAAATGGCCACTTTGCAAGACTGCATTTCTGACAGGTTAAATTGTTCACACAGTGCAAGGACTCTCCCAACATGTCGTTCAGGGAGCTCACTGGGCGCTGTAAATAATGCGTCACCAACCATGCAGGAGGAAGACAGCCACCAGGACACATGGTCTCAGTCAAGATAAGGACTGAACTGGGAGTGCAGTGTCTCGGTTGGTGGTCCTTCGTTTTGAGTATGCTAATAATGATATATCTCTTGGGCTAGTGCAAGACAGTGTGGACACTCCAGACAGGGCAATCATTTGGCTCTTTTTTAAAACAAATACTCCTGATATTCTTGGGGTACTGCTTATGTAGGGTATGGGTTAGAACTGTGTGGGAAACAAAGCAGGGCTGACTACGTGGAAGCTCTGGTGTTTTAATCCCTGAAAATCCCACTCTGGTTCCAATCTTACAGCCCCGGCTCAGCAAGCCCCCCGCTCCCTTGGGCAGCTGCCCTCTCTCCCCAGAGTGCAGTTCCTCTCAAAGCCGTCAGCCTCGGACTCTCGAGAACCTTGCATACAGCCCCTCACCCAGCACTCTCCCAGGGGGATTTCAGGAAAAGACAATTTCTCCATCTCATTAATGGTCCTTAGAAACTGGTATTCTGCATCCATCCCTGCCTGGCCCAGACCTCAATCAGATCCCAAGAAGAATGAACCCTAAATGCCTGCTGCTAGTGAAAGGAGCCACGCTGAAAAGGCTACATACTGTCTGCATCTAGCTCTCCGGCATCCCGTAAACGACGACTATGGAGGCAGTAGAAGGATCAGGAATTGACAGGGTTGGTGGAGGGCGAGATGCATGGGCAGAGCACAGGCCTTGGAGGGCAGTGAAAGTAGTCTGTGTGATACGGTAATGGCACAGGTGTCACCACACATTTGTCAAACACGCAGAACGTGCAACACCGAGTGAACCCTAATGTAAACCCTGGGCTGTGGGTGATAACGTCCTGTCGTGTAGGCTCCTTCCTTGTGACAGATGGGCCACTCTGGGGGAGACGCTGATAGCTGAGGAGTCAGTGTGTCTGCGGGGTTGGGGTGCAGAGGGACACGGGAACTCTACTCTCTGCTTAATTTTACTAAAAAGCTTCCACTTAAAGGGGAGAAACAAAGAATGTTACATATTTATCTCTCGAGGCAAGATGTCAGAAATCACCACGGTGAGAAGGAAGGTCTAAAGTGACTCCTGTCTGCACACAGAGAATATTTGCTGTGGAGATGACGTAGATGTGTGTTCGCTTCCAGTTTTCTCTCTGATGGAAATGGAGAGGCGGTCATTAACAAACTGCGAAAACAAAAACTGGACACTTCCGTTGCTTCCTTTGGATGTTGACAAATACTCCCTGTGCAGGGCCATATAGTAAATAGCTGAGGTTTCCTGGCAATATGGACCATCTCCCAGGCACTGGGTTCCACCACAAAGCAGCCGTAGGCAAGACATAAATAAACGGTGTGGCTGTGTTTCAATAAAACTCTATTTACGAATGCTGACACTGGAATCTCATCATTTTCACTTGTCATAATCTTTTTTCCAACCATTTGAAAATGGAAAGCTGTTTTTAGCTCCTGTGCCATAACTGGCTGGTCCTTGCTCTCTCTCGATCCATGATTCCCCTTCTCTCAACTCTCAGAATAAGAAATCCTTTATCCCAAACAGTATCTTAGCTGGAAGCTTAAGACGTGAAGCAGTTGCATTAGAGCTGGGCTGAAGCTTCCCCTGCCCCGGGGGCCTCCCTGGTTCTCCTCCTACCCTCCCACTGTGGCTGCCAAACCCTTAGCCGGGGCCTACATACCTCAGAAGAGTTCAAAAACTACTCTTCCAGCATCTCTACATCCTGCCCCTGGACCCCTCGGGTCCCTAGAGAGCTGCACACACCTGAGTCCCCCTCATCATATGCTTCCACAGATGGAGCCACCTGAGCACCGAGCCCCGCTGTGAGGCAGCAAGCCCCGGCCAGCTCACAAACTCAATCTGCAGGGGACCCTGGAGAAAGGATGCCTGCTGCACCTCAAGATGTGTCCACGGGCAAAGCAGCGGGAGAAATGTGCGTCCCCAAGCCTTGCTGCACAGTGGAATTAAGGGGTCAGTGCCCAGGTTGTGCCAGAGACATTCTGCACCCAGGCCAGGGTGCAGCCTGGGCATCGGGAAGGTTCACACCTCCCGAGGTGGTTCTAATGCATAGCAAAGTTTGGGATCCACCGGAGTGGACCCAGAAAGTTGTGTCTTACGGAGGTCACTCGTGGCCGTGTGAGTTGGCTGCTCATCACGTAGCGCTGACCTCTGCTCTCATTTCTGGAAATTCTTTTGCTACTTTCATCTTGCGCTCTCTCCCCACATCTGCCTTTGCTCTGGGTTTCTCCCTCCTTTTCTTTCCGTCCTTCCTCACGCCTTCCTTCCTCCTACCTTCCCTTCCTGTCTTGCCTGTTCATCTGTTAGTTTTTAGCGAAGAATAGCTTATTACATGTTGGCTGAGGGTTCTTTATCTAAAATGCTCAGGGCCAGAAGTACTTCACACTTTTTAATATTTCATAATATTTGCACACACATGAGACATCTTGAGCTGAGGCCAAAGTCTAACACAAAATGCGTTTATGTTCTATGTACAGGTAGCCTGAAGAGAATCTTACACATTTGTAATGTATCTGCATTTAACATGAGGTCAAGAGTGGAGTTTTCCACTTGTGGTGTCGTGGTGGTACCCGAAGATTCCAGATTTGGGAGCGTTTCAGATTTTTGGATTATAGATGCTCAACCTGTGTTACCAGATGTGACCCTAACATATGGTGAATGTTTCCATTTTTTAAAAATGTATATAATGAAAGACATCACCATTAATCCCCTCCCCAAATTACCTCCTCCCCAGCCTGGAATGCACTTATCCCATCATTCTGGCTACTTTCTGAAGCAGTTCCGAAGTTCTCTTTTGTGCCTTTAGTTGCACTGTCGTGTCTGCCTCCATGTCCTGAATTGATTCAAGACATTTGCCTTTCATTTCACTGTCACTTTGACTTTGGGGAAGAGCCAGAAGTCACACAGTACCGGATCTGGCGAATAAGGCAGATGAGGACATGTGGTCATGTTTTTATAAGCCTGCTTTCCACTGCATGGCACTTGGCAGTAACACTCACCATAGTTGTTATCACCCCTTATAAAGAAACTTATAAAAAGGACTTCCAGAACTGCTTCAGAAAGTGGTAAGAACAGAGGGAAAAGTGTATTCAAAGGTAGGGGAGTATTTTGAAGGGGATTAATGGCAACGGGTCTTTTTTTTTCAGTTGTAGAATGTTTTATTTAAAACTGTTCAAACTTTCACATACGGCAATGTGTCTTTCACCATAAGAAAATTTTTTAATTTAAGCATTCGCTATATAAGTTAATTGTACCTTGTAAGTGATAATTGCTCACTATAAAAAAAATTTAGTTGTTCAAATGTATAAGATAAACAATAAAGGCTCCCACTACACACACATCAACCTCATGTCACCCCAAAGTCTTACTCTTTAGTGATCATCTTGTTTATCTTTTCAAAGGTAGAGAGAGAAAAAAATACTGCCTACCATCTACAAGCTAGGATCATTTTTCCCTTGGAAAACAAACTCCTTCAGTCCTGCACAGGGCTCTGTGGCCATCTCTTCCTCCTGGAGAATCACCAGACACCTTTTTATTTCACCCAATGAAATCCTTTCCTTGCAGGCCAGGAGATGAGCACCATTTACAAGTAATTCTGGGCTGATACGAGACCACCTAGTCTGGAGAAAGAAATCCTTCAGTTTAACTCTGCAGCTTCTATTTCATATTCTGAAAACTTTTATCTGAAAGAGAAGACAAGCTCTGCCTGGCCACCTACATCAGCCTGAGCCCGGAAGGAACTGACCCTGAGCCGCACCTGTGCTGAGATATCTCCGGACAGACATGAAGAGCCCCCTGCAGCCTCTGAGCCAGCGGGCGGCCCTGAGCCAGCACAGTGTACCCTCCACCCAACTTCCATCCCTCCGTCCCACTAGGTCATGCCTCCCTTAAAATGCCCCGCCTCTGTCAAGTATGGTGGCAGGCTCCTATTGTCTCAGCTAAGTGGAAGGCTGAGGCAGGAGGATCACAAATATACAAAGTCAGCCTAGATGCCTTAGCGAGCACTCAGGCTACCAGCTCCCGGCTTTAGTTCTCCATCCCATGTGCTGTTCCGCACTGACACCATCCCTGCCTTCCCCTCCCTCTCCAGTCTCCTCCGGCCATGTGAACCCGATACTACAGCTTCAGCCATTGCCATGCCAATATCTCCAACTCACCACACTACTCCCTTTCTGTCAGAAATCCCTACAGAATCTCCCAGCTCTGGGTGGAGTGAGTGTGGGAGTCACTTACCCACGTGCTGTCAACCGGTACTCGGGATGCCATGGAATAAATAGCACACGAGCTCAGGAGTCAGTACCTCCACTGAAGGCATGGCGTCCAGCTCTACCCAGGCTGCTTCCCAATCTTGCGTTCTCCATCTGCACTCTCTGTTTCCCCAGCAAACCCTCTGCACTGTCCCGAAACCTTTAGCAGCATAAGGTTTCCCTCCCTCTTGCCCGGTGGTCTCACTCTCTGGC